ATATTTTTTTATAACGTTTATATGTTTTTCGTTTTAATGACTTACGATGATAAGTTGCAACAAAATATGCAATTGATAATTAAACTGCAAAATTGTAATGCAACTTTGAAAACGAGAAAATATTAAATACAGTTTTTAATATACATAGTACATGTTACATTCTGATTACATTTATTTATTACATAGTTTTCAATACGTAATTTTTTCGAAGAGATGATTTGTATGTTCCTTTTTTATTGAATCAGTCGGTCAACAAGAAATAATGACTTTTTATTGAAGATCACTTCATAAACATTTTCACCTAGAATTTCCATGAAAGTCTAAATAATCCATACAAATAAGAAGAAAATTATAAGAACCGTATGATAATAATTTGTTATGTATGAAAATATTTAATATAGACCTTTATTGTAGTTAGCAATAAATTAAATATTGCACAGACAAAGGTATTCTAGCTGAAAACAAACAAGAACAATAATTATGAAAGTTGTTTAGCTGGAAACTGGATTTTTTTCCACATACGTATGTGTTTTACAATAAAAATAATGTTTTATAAACTGTTATTTTAAATAATATTTGCAAATTATATTAATATTTACGATTTTTTTTACATCTCGTCTGCCCGTGTAGTAACCGAAACGTCGGGAGTATGTAGTTTTTTATCAAAAATAAAATTCGAATAGTACATCCGAAAAATATTAGTTTTTTTTTTATTTTACTTGAAACAACCTTCTTTGAAGTAAAAATCTACTTAAAAGAAAAACCAAGGACATTATTAATATTTAGCGCTGTGTATCGTGGTCAAAGCGTGACAAGAATGTCTCGTCCAATAAATTTTGTACCGATTTTATCAACTGTACGATACACCAATTTATTTACAAGAACATGTATTTTGTTCTTTCATATATCTGACCTATTTTTTCACTTTCAACTCAATTCAATCAAAGTATGAGTCATATTTATTGTATACTAGTTTTTGCCCGCGACTTCGTCCGCGTTACTTTGGTCAAGAGTAATATATGTAGGTATAGCTGACCAGGCGAACTCTATTCCGTCTTAGAGGCCATAAATAATCAGGTTTTTCCTGTTTCAATCAAACAGAATGATTGACATATTAGTTAGTTGTCAAATCTAATGTCAAAAAAAAGTTTGTACGGGAAATAAAAAAGGGCTGTTTTTAGCGTTTTTCCGGCAATTATTCCAATTTTTCTCACCTTTTAAACCTTCCCTGGACTTCCAGGAGTTTTTCAAGACTAAAATTAGCCAAATCGGTTTAGCCGTTCTCGAGTTTTAGCGAGACTAAGGAACAGCAATCCATTTTTATATATATAGAAGAGAAGATGAAAGCTATAAGGACGAGTGTAACATAATTTGTGTCATACAATCCCTGAATTTTTAAGTTATATTCATATAATAATTAGCTTTAGTGAGTGTAGCAAATAATGGTTGTAATCAATGTGGACGAAAAATAATTTAAATTCATTACCACTTATCGATCTTTTAGGTTTCGAAAAATAACTTTAAAGTATACTAATTACAGACAAAACAATTTAATAATTATTACACATTATGTATTGAAATAAATAAAGAAATAGGTTTATAAATCCCTACATCAGCACCAATCAAACTTTCAGTATTGAAATCGTAATTATGACATCGGAAGTTAAACAATTTCATTTATTCCATACACACAAGAATTTTATAAAAACCTTTGTGCCATTCGAAGTATTGTAATGAAATTTTTGCTACGTCAAGGACTGTATTAAGAATAGCGACTTTTTCCGATAAATATTTGACCTTATATAAATCTTCACAAAATCACGAGACAAGAGATTCATGTCACGCATCGAAGTAGATACTGTTGCTTTATATTAATATTGTCTTCGTTTCTGTTTTAAGAATATTGAAGGATGTTTTCTTTTAAGTTATTACAAGTGAAATAAACGGACAAATTTAAGGTACAAAATATCCCTTAAATATTGTACTATGTATAAGGAACTGTCCTCTTTGATTTTAAAGTATCCTCTAATTAATTAGTTTTATAGAGATAAAAAGATCTGTAGTCTTGTATCAAGTCTTTCTATTGCTCGTGAACCGTTGGAATAGTCGGATTTCTGTAAATTCGGTAGCATGAGTCATTTTATAATCACATTATTAGATACTGTAAGGTATCAATGATTATTTTGTATTAGCGTGATTAATAAACCTACTACTTTAGTTATTTATTCTTCCGAACCTAAAAGTACTTTTATTCAAATAGAACGTTTTATTTATACTGTATTACATTATTTATATTTCTTCATACTTATATCAAAGATACTCAGATTAAATTGGAGATAGCAGTTTCGAGTTAAAAATCATCTAACAACTTATAGTAGAAGTTTATTAACATTTAGTTATAATTTTCAGTTATTATTTTAGGTGGAACTTTAAAACAAGTTTGAAGTACAAATTATATATAAATATTAATTCTGGAGGGTTTCGACTTTGTGATAAGTAATATTGATTTAATTAATACTAGTTTTTGAATATGACTTCGTCTGCGTGAACTTCAGAAATAGATTCGGAGGGAGGCAGATGCGTTTCTGTTATCCCTCGTTTTAGAGTGTCTTGTACTGTCTTCGTAGTTTTATGTCACCTCTTACGGAATCACTGTCAAATGTGATGAGAAGTATCCACTGCTAATATTCTGGTTCTAAGATTATAGTAAGCTTCTAGTCCACCAATTTTCAGCAAAATCATTACAGCCGTCCTTGAGTTATAAATAGTGTAACTACCACAACTTTCTTTTATATATAAACTGGTTTTTGCCCGAGACTTCGTCCGTGTTAATTTCGGAATTAGTTTTTTTTTCTGTTTCTGTTTCTGCCCATCTCCTGGTACTAAATTATCTCCCAGTCAATTTTCAAACCATATCCCTACAGCCGTTCTTAAGCTATAAATAGTGTAACTAACACAACTTTCTTTCATATGTATAGATTTAGTTATTCTTGTTTCAAAATTATATTTATTCTGAGGAAGTAGTTTAAAGGATTCTGTGAAAATCTACGAGTCCAACCACTTCTAGGAACGTCTCTGAATTGCATGTGGATTAAATACGATATGTACTTTATATCTGTAATCTAACACTTTCTGTGTGTATTTGTTAGAATAGAATATAATAAGACGTAATTATATTATATTCATACTTTATATATTACAAAACTTTTGAATTTTAACCTCATATAAGCTTTCCTTCAGTATTTTTCAGAACATCTCTTCATGTAAAATGTAGAGATACCTACAAGTGTTTATCAGAGCTTACGTTGCGATTTCCAACTCCGAATTCGGAAAATTTCCTAGACTTTGTTCCTGTGTTACACGTCTTGAAATGTTTTTTCTACAACTATTCATTTATTTTTGTACAACACAGTGCTCATGTTTTTTTATATAAGGGATTTCTTTACAGTCATATATATATATATATATATATATATATATATATATATATACAATATATATTTTTTTTCAGTCGTAATGCAAATCGTAAGTATTATTTTTATCTTTCATATATAAGACTATTCTTTAAGATTATATACGTAACTTCAGAAATAAAAATCCATTAGTAATTCTCACTATATAAAGTTTTGTCTTAAAATGTTTCTACACAAACAAAAACTATAAACATTTTGATATATGAACAGATTTCTTATTTCAAAACTTGTAGGTGATATTTACAGGTTTTTTCTCTCAACATAAGTAATGTCTCACGATCCGTTAAGTCACGAAAGTTTCAGATAAAAACGAGAGCTTTGTTCATAACTTTGTTAAACAATTTTATTGATAATATGAGCTATGTTCGCTTCTGGATTTATTGTTATATATATGTATAGTAAAAACTATTTATAGTCGACTTAGTTAATACTAATTTTGTATACAAAAATACTACGATATTTAAAATGAAGCTGCAAATGTACATCTAAATATATTTTGAATTCTTAGTCCGACGTGTTAAAGCGGGAAGTGTTAAAAATAATATACATGGACTTTTCGACGAATAGTTACTTTACTTTTTTATGGTTTATGTTCTGTTGTGGAATAAAAAATAAATGACAAGTAGATTAATTAAATAAAATTTCATAAAATATGCTCTAGCTATAAAGCTATGATATTTCAATATTATCAATGTATAGTAATATAAATTTAAAACAAAATCTATTGAATTTATTACTAAGACGCCATGACTATCCATTCTGGTTAATAAATTATATCTTGTTCTTCGTAATGTGAGATATCGATACAATCTGCTGATCTCGAGATAACAGCTGCGCTGAATAAATAAAGAGGCTGTTTCAGAATTATGACGTCATCACCTGTCGACCGTCGTAATGGATACAGTTACGTAATGTATTGATGAGACTATCTAATACATAAGGAATTTAAAGGTGCGAATGAAAATTATACTACAAAATCATTATATATATATATATATACAGGGTGACTGGTGAATTACTATCAATATTTAAGGAGAATACTCGGTACATGATTCTCATTCGAATTATGTAAAAAAAAATACGTACTTAATTTTTGACCAAATTTCACTTGGAACAGTCACCCTGTATATACATGTGTGTGTGTGTGTGTGCGTGTGTGTGTGTGTGTGTGTGTGTGCGTGCGAAACAAAAAAGAAGTCACTGTATTATATTATTTTGTTATTTTAGCAGTATCGCAACAGAATATTTGGTATTTATTACGAGTTAATTTTGAATTGTGTCTCTACTTGTATACTGCATGATACTCAGAAATGCTTATCGTAGTGCTTGAATTCAGAAACTTCATCGAAATTTTGTTCCGAAAATTTAAATTTTACCTTCAAAGTTTTTTAGCAATGGAATCACGGAACTGATAAATTGCGGAAATGGCTACAGCTGATACTTGAATCTATGAAAATTTACTTAAAAATATCAGTTTTTTTAGTATATCCCTATAGTATAATAGACTTAAATGTTAGAACTAATGTGATGACCGGAACTTTTTTGTGTCCTTATAAAAATTGCATCACTTCCAAATTTCTTGCAAGGCGTGATGGCTCGGATATCATCGTTGGACCTATGCGTTGTTGTTGCCATACGCAAGCCGGTTTGCTCCATCTGTTGAGGAGGAACAGAGTAGAAGGAACGCTAAGACCTGTACTCTCTCCTCCTTGGTACCAAATGCCTCCTCACCGCTCCGTCACATTTGGAGTTCAGAAGATCGAGAATCTACCACTGCTATATCTTGGCATAGGCTGAAATTGAGACTATTCCCAAAAGAGGGTTGATGTCAGGCAGGTGGCCGGTCGTAAAAAAAAATAGCCAAAAACTATTCACAACGTGTAAGGCAGACCCTGGCTATAGCTGGGAAATTGTCAGGTAGAAGAAGGAGGCTGAAATTGAGACTGTAGTTGCAACGTTTTCGCCTGCTTTAGATCCGGTGAATCAGCAGCAGTAATCGCTGGGTCATCATCTTTTACTCTTCCTCCTTCTAAGGAAAAAACGGGCATCAGGTGGAATAAAATTCAAGGATATAGTAACTTTAGCCTTTCTTCTGCGCGGCTCAGATTCCTTCACCACCATATCACTTGAGGATAATGCTTTCTAAAAAGGCAGTTTCTTTATCACAGGCAATTTGTAGCCAGTTCCAAGGTCTACCTTATCTACCTTAAGATTTACAACGGATTTCGTCCTCCAAGTACATAATCAAGCCATGTGATAACCTAATACATAGTTTGTATCGTCATACTACACACGAGACGTTCGCAATTTCTCACTCAATAACTTACGTCAAAAAACTCTTTACGTTCTGTTTGTAGTGCGATGATGACTACTTAGACTAAGCATAAAAATCACAATGAAAAATATTTTAATAGCTCAATGTTAATAACGCAGCTAAATTATGTATTACTTGGCATTTTGTTAATGGTTAAAACAAACTGTAAGGAGTTTGAAGTCGTGTTGTGCGCTTGAATTAAAAATTATATCTATATCACTAATATTATATAATATCTGACTATGCCAAAGTCCGAGTATAGTATAGTCAACTTGCTGCCCTGTATCAAAATTATGTCATTTAAAATGTTTATTTAATCTTATTCTTAAGGAACAGAAAATAAATTAAACCTTAGTAATTGTATTTGATATAAAAATATTTCTTCTAATACGCAAAATATAACAAAACATTGTTCCTACGATAAGCATTTGAATATATTATAAGCTATCTCCAAAGCATCTTCTAATAAATTTTGCTTTTCTGAGCAAAACTTAGCCAAAATTTTAAGTCATAATTATGGTCACATAAAATATGGTTTAATTTTATGCGGTGATAGATCGGACGCTTTTAGTATATTCTCGTTGCATATAAATAATAAAGCTTTGAACACGAAACTCGCAAAGAGCCCATAATGTCGTCTGTATAAATTGTTTTAGTAATAACCAGTTTAACATATTATTTAGAATTATTTTTCATATTACAAAATTGTTGTATAATTTTCAAAGATAAATTTTTCGTTAAAATATGTATATCGAAAGTTTGTATTCGTTAAGTGTATATGAATCGGTTATTTACTAAAGGGACTAAGTCAGGCATGCCTAGTTTTACAGGAAGGACAAGAATATGTATAAAAAAACCTTAGGTAAGTATTATTTTTTCATCTAGACAGTTAGTTTGAACCTATATGAATAAACTAATGTAGAGACTTTTTCTGTATATCTGTATTGTAAATAATTATGCTTATATAAAAATGTTTGACTAATTCCTTTTGGTACCTAAATGAAATTTTGAGTGAAAAAATAAACAAATAAGTGTTGAAAAATAAGTTTTTATTAACATTTAGGCCAATTTTCTATTATATTTTCATAATAGGCTTTATTTTCAGCTCGAATGTTTTGCAAGGTACGCTTGAGATCTTCTATTTTATTAATTTTTAGGGGCACAGGCCCATCATAAGCATTTTGTTTTGGAAGTGTAACTGTATGAGTTTTATTCTTTCTTAAATCAAATGTGTTAGTTCTCAGTACATTCCCAATAAAAGGCCCGGTAACATCCAACTTCCCTTTGGTAAATAACTGATTCATATAATGTTAGTAGGTCTTTGAGAATAAATGTACAATTATTTGTATTTGTTAAGATTTAATTAGTTATTTTTTTTAGTGTGTGACAAAATTAAATTTAAAAAGTTCAAGCAAGTGGAGATACGTATAATAGGATATAATTGTTTAGATTATCCACCCCTTCTTTGATTTCCTTATTCATATTTGTGGGAAAAAACTAAGTGTTCTTTATTGATTTTTAAGATTTTTGAATATTTAAGATTTTTGAATAGTGCTAAATAATTCAAATTTTCAAAGATATATCCTTTTTTATGACATCGGGTCCATTGCAAATTGTTTTCCAACAATAACTTTATTTGGTATCTCAATTTATGTTTTTCGCAAGAGCCCTACTAGTGTGAAAATTCTTTCACACGTCTTGCTGTCAAGTGGTAAATCCTTTATGTAGGCTTGGTATGTCACTTCTTTTTAGAAGGGCATATTGAAAAGAATCTTCTCCGTGTGCAAGTTTGTTTACATGTCCTCTCTGACCTGCTTTGGCCTGAAATCTCTACAGGATTACCCATACCTTTCCATCTATCTCTCCAGGATCCAGGATTTGGGTATCTTGGAGTATGAAAGGTTTTTCTCAAACGACGGAACCGTTGTATTTTTTCTTTAATATCCCATGAATGTTCCCCCTTGGGTGATTTGTTGTGTACATTGTGAAGTTATTAAAGATTATGTGTATTTTCGGTGTGAATCTTGTTTCAGAGATTAGTGCAATATCAATAATCAACATTGTAAGGTTTTGGTTATAAATCGAAGTAAAATACAGGCAGATACTTTTGTAATTCGAAGTCCGATGCTAACTTATCTCACTTCGTGTCCAATGTCATTTAATTCTTTTCAAAACATCTGTAGCATTTTCTTGTGCATTCTTTATGGTCTGAGGTTAACTTGTTACTGGCTAATGGGGTCTCGTTCAGTTAATTCATATTGTCTTTGTCGTTGTTTTGTTGGTTGTCATTATAGTAACTAAGCTTAGTTGGCAGAGACCATGTCGAGTTACTTTTGTTCCGAATGAACATGTTTTCATGCAGTGTTTCTTGGATAGTGCTTTTAAGATGGGTTGTTTTTTTAGAGTTTGGTAGGGTTTGTTGTTTATTATTTATCTATTGTAACCAATGAATGGTGCATTTTATTTCTACGAGTACGGCCGATACAACAGGTTTCTAGGATGGTGAGGCCTATTCTCCCTAGGAAAACAAGGAAAGTTATGTCGGAGTCTCGATCTGAAAAGGACGCACTGCCAACTAAAACCCCACGGGTGTCCCACGCATCGCTCTTCTGCTAAACCACAGGGCCCATAAGGCGATTCTGCTGCTGTTTTGCATCGGTGGCCTATAAGGGACATTTTTAAGGCCTATTCTTCCTAGAAGACCACGACAACGACTTTTGCCAGGTCCATTGGTGTGCATCATTAGCGGCAGGTCTTCCACCAACCTTACAGTCTCAGATTCGCAACACACCGTAGACTTAGTCTAATATTTTTTTTTATAATTTGTAATAGTCTAATATGTTTTTATAATTTTACTGTTAGACCAAGCTGGTTAGGCTACCTAAATGGGGATCATTCAAAGTCGCCCAAAATCCGGCCTTGTATGTGTAGGGTAGTGGCTAGGTAGTAGCTACGGACGCAAATAATTCTTCGCTCCAAAAATATATATATTCTAAATAAAAGTCTATTCGCGTATAAAAATAAAATTGATATATGTTCTAAAAATTTATTTTGTTGTTGTAAAATAGAAAATAAATTATATATAAAATTGACTCTGACATTAAAACAACGATCAACATTGTGAGAGGCGGTTTGGGTCAGTTAAAAAAATATTTATTTGAGCTTGATTATAAAAATATAAATCAAAGGCAAACAGTCAAATTTTATTTGCAGAATAATAAAATAAATTCTATAGAATATTAAATATTACTTTTCTTTATTCATGTTTAAGCAAATGTTAGCAAATATAATAATAATGTTAACAATTCAGAACAAATTATTTCCATGAAATATACAACCGCATATAATTGAATATCTTTGTTATGAGATTCTAACACGTGTGTGAGATTGTTATATCCACTTAATTAATACTGAGAGTAATTTATAAGCGATATTATTTTATATTAGCCGGCTGGATTTATTCTATTGCTTAACGGCTAGGCTGTATAAAATCCAGATCGGCTATAAAACTGCAAGTAATAGTTTATTAGTCACACTGTCGACAGTTTAGCTAAGACGGTTGTACTTTCAAAGCTATAAATTGAATAGGAAAGTTTCACATTGATTGGATCGATTTGGTTGATGTGGAAATACTCTGGATAATTAATTAGATTTAAACGAATAGAGAGTAATAAAATAATGATTGCGTTTAGTAAAATAAATGTTGTGTTCAGATTCTGTAGCTCATTTGGGAATATGAAACCACTCTTTGTATTTTTTATACACGAATAAAATTTATACCATGTACATGTAGTATTATACCCGAGTCATATTGTGTATATTCTTTTGTGTACCTGGATATATTTATAATAATAAAAAACAAGATTTAATTTAAAATATTTACTATTGAAATAAAATTGTTATTAAAGCACGTTTTTCAGATTACTATATGTCTCCAAATAATTTGTAAAATTACTAACATTGCTCACGATGTTTTCTTTCACCGTCTATTAGCAGAGTCTAAGTACTCTTAGAAATTACATATATATGAGTCGGAAAACATCACATTAGTATTCACCAGGTTTCGAACTCGCGCCCTGATGCATAAGAGGCCGACCTTTAACCACTAGGCCATCACGACTTTATAGTAAAAAGTATGTATTTTTTTATTCTTGGTTAATGAATTGTATAAAAAAGTAAAAAGTTTTCCATTCTATAACTGTTATTATCAACAAAACTGACGATTAAATTTAACTGTTTCCAATGTACCATCTATTTCACAGCAACTTCTAAATCCATTGAATGTGAAGTTCCTAAAATACGATTGGACGGGTCGATCGCAACGCGTCAGAGCAAGTTATTCCTGTTTCAACGGTCCGTGCTCTAGGGAGTAAGTCTCTAAACTTATTCTACATTGTTATATTGTTATATCAAGTTTATAGAAACTGATTTTTATTTGTACTTCTTTAAATATATCTATAAATGTATTTTCAGTGATGAATAT